ATTCAAGCCTTCTTCAGCTCGCTGAATCCAAGCAGTTTTAGCTTTTCGGCGACATCCTTTGGAAGCGGCGGTGATCGTAGAATTACCGTACCATTTGGAGCGAGAAAACTGCGAAAATCATCAGGGTCCTCGTCCGGTTCAGCAGTTGCAGCTGGAACCTCTGTAGGTACAAAATCAACTGGAATAATGGTCCTTCCCTGACTGTCGGTTGCAGTAGTAGATCCCTGCGTGAATCCAGTGGATCCAAGGGAAGAAGGAATTGTTGAGGATTGCTCAGCATCAACGAAAAATGGAGTCGAGGTTTCGAATGGAGGAGGAAACGTCATCGAAACTGAGGGACTAGCTGTGGCCATTATACTCGTAATAATATCGACAGTTGTCTTGTCTTCAGGTGGAAGGTCAGGACTACCATCAAAGGGGTTCGGAGTGCTTGATTGACTGAACGGTGTCGTCTCGAAAGGAGGAGGTGGAGGTGGTGGTGGAGGTGGTGTCGGTACATTGGGATCCACGCCTATGAAAGGTGGGGATGCAGTAGAAAACGTTCCGCCTGGGACTGGGACATTACCCTGGCTAATATCGACTCCAAATAGAACAGGATTCCCATCATTGTTTCCACTGTCCACAGATGTGCTTGGCGGTATTTGTCCGACGCTAGTGCCGATAGGCCCCTGTGTCGTTGTTGGGAAGGGCTCTATTGGGCCATCGATTCCACTTCCAGGAACAGTACTACCGCTGTCAGGAGGTGGAGGTAAAACTGGAGGCAGTGCACTTGGTGGAGGTGGATCTATTGGTCCTGGTGGAGGCGGAGGAGGAGGTGCCACTGGGAGCTGCTCCTTAGGCGGTGATGGTGGCGGATTTACCTTATCATTCGAAAATTCGAAGCTTTGATCTATGATAGCAGGCCTTGCGTAGGAGCTCCTTGCTTGCTGCTCGATCATAGGAGGTCTTCCATAAGAGCTTCTCACCGGCGGTTCGAAGATTGGAGGCCTTCCGTATGAGCTCCTCCCTTGGCCCTCAAAGGAGCCGCTCCCTCTATAGCCAGCATTCCAGTTTTGCTCTTGGGAATAAATGTGCCGTTGTTGGTAGTGATTATGGTAGGGTTGTTGGCTCCAAGTTTCAGACTGATACTGACTTTGATAGGGCGCCCATCGCTGTTGATAATTCGAACTGAATTGTCGTTTGACCCTGAAATGCGTAATAGATACCAATGCCGGCGTTACGTCACTGATGCATGATCATTCAAAGAACATAAAAAGACCAACTTGACAATGAGTAAATCAAAAATTGTCAAAAAATTACCTTTGATTTCGAGCTCCTGTGAATTGCACAAGGAGCAGGAAGAGAATCGGCGCTCGCCACGGCATCCGAGAACGTTTTGACATTCGACAGCCGAGCGTAACCAGTTGCTGGTCGAGACGTTGCCCGAAAAATGACCCATTTAAGGATGTGACTCATCTGCTAAATACTCTCTTAGGATCAACCGTTAGACGATTACTTATGGGTATTGGGCGAACATCGATGCGGTTTTTCGTGTTGGTTTGCTGGTGAATCACTCTCACGAGTGTGGCAATAAACAATAAATGATGTGCGGTCCAAGGTTGCCATCATGAACACCCTGAGAAAATGGCTACTTTTCAAAACTTTACAACGCTTGTGTAGTTATAACGGTCATTATTCTGTCGCGTAAAAGATGATTCAAGAAGTTGAGTCATTAGATGTCAAGAAGAAAACATGGGGAGGGAACGAGGAGGT